CCTTTCCCATCGTACGTAATCGTACGGAAATGGCTTGCTGCGTAACGCTAAGCTGTTCTGCAAGCTCCTTTTCAGTTTGCGCAGAATTTATATCCAGCAGTGCTTGCAATTCGTCCGTTTCAATCTTTTCAGGGCGTCCAGCACGCGATTCATCTTTAAGACTGAAATCTCCTTGGCGAAACTTTTGATATCATCTTTTACATGTAGCATGACTTACAGCGTTCTCTCCATATGCAGCACAAATCATTGCAGTGGCTTCAGCAGCATTTTTCTTCAGATGAAACGCGAAGTGGACGGAAAATCGAATATGCTCTTTTGTTATTGCCATCGTGAACACTACTGATTTTTGAAGATATGTGCATCAAACGCCAAACCGTATGGCATTTTAGAAGGCCAAATGTTAACGCTTTAAAACCGCAAAAGGGCGGGAAGATATATAAAATTTAAATTGTTATTTCGGTTGTATGAAATCTAAAGTTCAGAACTTTTTTGTACACCTAATAATCTGAGAGGAGGCTCGATGGTCTCAGCATATATCACGTTAAGAGGAGTAGAGATGCGATATCTGAAACATAAACGCAGTGCTTGATTCTGGATGACCTGAAGAGCCTTAAAACGGCTACTCGCAATGAGCTCGAAAATATGAGAAGCGTATTCGATCGAAGCACGCAGCATGGACCTGTAAACCGCGAGCAGCATATGGGAGTGAGCACCCCACCAGGTACCGCGAAGGGCAGAAATAACTTGAAGAATACATTTACCCTTGGTAATGATATAATTCATATGGGCCTTACCAGAAAGTTTTGGATCGAGCAACACGCCGAGGAAACGTGGGGAGATATAATGGTTATCATAAGAGATACGATAAGCATGCCACGAAGTAGATCTCTTGGTGGAGAAGATCATCATTTGCGTCTTATGCGAGATTTCTAGTCCTCGAGATTGGAGGAACAACCCCAGGTTGTGAAGGGAAGTTTCCACGGAATAGAATGCCAGATCGGTGTTTTTATTAGTGAAAAAAATGATAAAGTCATCCGCAAATTGTAAGAGCTCTGTAGATGGATGTAACGTCGTTGATTTTACGTAAATAAATATTAAAGAAGGTCGGGTTGAGTATTGAGCCCTGAGGAATGCTCTTGCAGACAATTTTGAGATCAGAAAGGAAGCCCTGGTTAACGAATTGAATAATACGGGAGGAGATAAGGTTCCAAATAAAAGACAGCGTCAGGGGGGGATATTCATGAGAGTAAGTTCTTGAAGGAGGATATGAGGTAAGACATTATCAAAAGCAGATTACACTTAATGTCCACAAAGACTGCGACAGTATTCTGCTTTTTAAGGAAGCCCAAATGAACGCCGGCGATGAAAGTGGTAAAATTGTCCTGGCAAGACCTAAACTTACGGAATCCAAATTGATTGTTAGGAAGAATGTCAGAAAGAAAGGACTCAATCAGCCAGTAGAAACGGTTGAGAATCATTTTTTCCATGATTTTAAGAGTGCATGAAGTAAGAGAGATCGGGCGAACTCCGCTGTTGTTAGGTTTGGGGATTAGATGTATCAGAGAGTGTGTCCATTGAATCGGAAAAACAGAGGCGAAAGAGATTATTGAGAATGTTTAAGAAACACTCCAAGAGAGCGATAGGAAGAGCCTTGAGGAAACGATAATCGACACAGTCTACTCCAGGACTAGAAGAGGTCTTAACCGAATGAAGAGCAGCATGTAGCTCATTGATAGTGAAAGGTGAATCCATCCAAAGGAGGTTACCTGAGTAAGGTTCAGGAATCTCCGGAGGGGAACAGTATGGGGGACATAACTTGTCCATCGCCTCTTGGATAACATTCGCATTTATAAGGCATTCATTATGAGCATTGGAATTGGGCGGAATCAAACGACGATTACGAAAACGTTTGAGCATATGCCATATTTCAGGAGTGGGAGTCAGATGGTTAAGCGACCGACAGAATTTTTTCCATTGCGTTTGGCTTTACGGAGGATATTACGGCAATAACCAACCTCCGAGCGGTAATAGACGTAATTGTCCTATGTAGGGACCTGTTTAAAAGTCTTAAAGGCCAGACTGCGGGTTTTAACCGCCTCCGTACACTCGGCGGTCCACCAAGGGGTCGGGGGGGACCCTCAAAGGTGCGTATCCTATGAAGGAAATGAGGGCGATCCCGAGCAGAATGATAGGGAGAGAAGATTTCGAAGCTTTTGGAAATCAGCTCAAAGAAG